CAGACTGAGAATTTGACAAACCATTATTTGGAGTAGGCACTGGCACTGGCACTTGCACTGGCCTATTACGGATGGAAAGTTTTGAACTTCTCTCAGGAACTGGGGGTGAGTTTATATCCGGCTGTTCATTGCTGATCTCTTCATTGTTATCCAGGCCAGAAGGAAGTGGTGGAAGTATATCTATTTCGTTGGTTATAGAAAGCCTCCTATTTTCAGCGTCAGTTTTGATAGGGGACGCAACTGCTTTCAGATGTGCTCTGAAATCTATCACTGGGCTCTCCACCTTTTCATTAAAAGAGTCGGCTTCTCTCTTTGGAATTGTTGTTTTTCTAAGTTCCGATGGTCTGGTGAGGCCACCTTTGAAAAGATCTCCTATCTGTTGATTTGCAGAGACTGGAATAGCTGGTCGAGGTTTCTCTGCTTTACTTCCTGGTTGTGGCGCTGGTTTTTTTCCAAACAATTTCTTCTTTTCATTTAACTTTTTTGGAGGTTTATTTTGCTTTCGAGCTTGTAAGAACACATTAGACTGTGGATTGCAATAAATATCCTCGTTGTCTGACATGACCTGCACAATTAAAATATTAGACATATCCAAATCATTAAATTAACAGATAGAAAACAGGGGGTCTGTTAATATTTATGTAAGGCATTAGTACTGAAACAAATCGTTATCCCGACAGTTAACACGACATAAAATAACAACAAAACCGATAAAATTTTGATCCTAATCTTTGCACGTGAACGTTTGCGTTACTAACCAACATGCAATGAGAAACTTTCGAATTAGTGAAACAAAGAATTGGTAAAAGGAGAATGAGTAAAACAAAGATTTAAATTTGGGTTTCATTTATATTCAAATAATATCAAAAATAAATATAAAAGCCCTCGGTGACGGGCAGCTTCGGTTCAGTAGCGAAATCCAGAGCGCTGTGCACTATAAGTTAGATAATGGTGTTGAGTGTATTCAAATAGTATGCTATGTCAGCAACTTGGTTGATCAGTGTATTAAATTTCCAAAATATTCTGTATTTTGATTTTAGATTTTAGCAGAAAACATACTCATCACGCTATTTGGTTATAGGTATCTAGTAGAGTGGTTTGTCAGTGCAACTGTAAAGTTTTGAATATTTATAGATTATTATAACCACTGATACAAAGCCCATAATCTTTCGCCAGGCCTCCAGTAGATAATATTCACATTCAAATTGCATTTTACAGGGTGTACCACAGAAAGTGTGACTTTTTGAGAAATGATACAAAATATTATGAAGGAGCACTGAGCAGTTGCTAAAAACTCTTCATCACATGGTGTCAATATGTGTCGAATTTATGTATACCAAGTTTCAAGTCCCTACCAATTTTTGATTTCTCACAAATTGCTATTCTGTTATGGTGCTACATCAGGAACTTAAGCTTGCTGTAATTAAGGGTTCTCAAGAAAAAAATGTTTATCCTTGAACAACATAAATTTGAGCATACTATAGTGTAGACTTTTCATTTCAGCATACCGTGTCGTAGCACGTTTATATCGTTCTCTCCTGCGTCAGAGACACCCGTTCTTTCAGCATACCTTGTCGTATCACGTTTATGGTTTATATTGTCTCTCCTTCTTCAGAGACTCTCGTTTTTCAGCATTCCGTGTCGTATAACGTTTATAACGTGTCTCCTTCTTCAGAGACAATCATTCATTCACATACGGTGTCGTATCACGTTTTTATCTTCTCTACTTCTTCAGAGACACTCGTTCTTTCAGCATACTGTGTCGTATTACGTTTATAGCGTGTCTCCTTCTTCAGAGACAGTCATTCATTCACATACGGTGTTGTATCACGTTTTTATCGTTTCTCCTTCTTCAGAGACACTCATTCTTTCACCATACCGTGTCGTATCACGTTTCTATCGTCTCTCCTCCTCCAGAAAAGGGTTTACATATGCAACCTGCCAAAACAAATGGTGCCCCTTCAGAATCTTTCAACTCGCATTACGAGAGTCCCCCTATGGTGTAAAAGGAGGCCAGAATTTGAGCACACCAAGCTCTAACATCGCTATTTGTTGACCATTTGCCTCCACTAAGGTACGTTTTTAGGAAGTGGAGGCCGAAAGTCAACTTGGGATGTAGGGCCAAGTGGGACACAACTTTCAGGCCCCTTCCACATGGGCCATGTTGGTTTTGGCAGATACCGTATTAAAATAACATGAAGTGAACTGAGTGAAGTGAAGTGAGTGAAGAGGGTGTATTAAAGGAGAAAGTTATAGAATAGTTGTAGTAAAAAGCAGGAGGCTGGACCTGGTAGTAATATACGATCGTTACAACAACCAATAAGTAATATAGATTAATAGATGATGAACTTGTTTCTTAAATAAAACTTAAGAGTAATAAACTACGAAATATATCAGCTCAAGTCATAACCTAATAGTTACGGTGTTCCAGCAAGTCTGAACTATATACTGAACAGAGACTATATACTGATGACAACTCAGCTTCAGATGACGTGAGCATGATTACTGAGTCCGATGAAGAGGACTCCAAACAATTTTCAATTGTAGTAATCTAATTGCAGCGGCTCACACTTATTAAGTTACATACTAATGATTATATTTCGGGCTGGAAAGCCCTCAGATCGATTTTTTGTTTTTGGTATTTTTAAATATTTGATGTAACTCTTCAACTATTAAATCTTAATTTCTAAATTTTATCTTTCATCAGATAAAATTTGTATTTGGTATTTTATTTAATGGTTTATTTGATATTGATATCGCTAAATGAAGCTAACTTCTGAGATGAATCCAAATTAAGTTTTTCAGGGATTTGAAGTATAAAGTATAACCGATCAAGTTCGAATTAATTAAATATCTATTTAATAAATAATTCAATTAGATACTTTGAAGAAATTTAGACGAGTATTAACATCCGTCAACCTAAACGATTATTCAAAACCCGTAACCCTCTAATCTGATTTCAACCTTATATTATACCCTAACCTAACCTAATCCAGCCTAACAAAACCATATACTGAAACCCTAACCGGCCTAACGAAAAATTATACTAACTTCCTTATATAATACAATTACGATTTTTACCGGGATTAAGATCCGGGATTCAGGTCAAATCTTGCATATGTAACTTATTGACAGTCAATTTTAAATATTTGGAACAAATATTTTTCGGGTATCACCTGTTATTGTAGCACGATGCACTACTGGGCCGCGCCGCGCATCTTCTCGCTGTAGATCCGCGGCGAGATGCACCACTTAAAATAAAATTGTCCTTTTCTTGAAATTGTTGTTTTCTTGACATGGACAATCAATGCACTGGCCCTATATTTATATCTAAATCTGCTATTTTAACTGTACTACCACTTTTCATTCCTCGTTCTCCTCTAAGAGCAATAATTGTTGTTCTCAATAAATAAAATCTTATTCTTTTCCTGATAAATGTCATCACCTCACTGTATCTTTGATTTGATTTTTTAGATAGTTTATCAGCTAACTTCTTGCATGTTGCAAGTATTAGCTTCTCTTCCCATTTAATTCCACCTGTTGTTGATAGGACTATTGGTGTAAATGTTTCATGTTCCACTTCAATGATCCTTTTGTTGTATGCGCTTTTATTCTGTCTCTCGTGGCTAGTGTACATACTCGTTGGAGATCCGAAACCTTATTGGAAGGAGCTTGAGCATGAAATACTCTTACATCTAAAAATGCCCTTTCCAATGGGTTCCAAATACTCCTAGCGCTTACATCTAATCTAGCTTCATTTGCTTTGTTGATCCCTGCAGGAAATTCTGTCCTGTTGACAGAAATAAGGTTCAGTGGTAACATCTTTATGCTTTACATCCAGCAGTTTCTAAGAGCTCTGCTATCACATCTATCAATGAATTGTGGCGAAGTGATACATATCCACCCCTTTTGCATATAAATGAGTGCCGAGTGGTTAATGGAGTTGTCACTTCCCCACACACATTTTCTTGCGGCGTCTTTTATTCCAAAATTTTATCTGAGGGTAAGGGCGTCATTGAATGCTTGCTGATGTTTACCTGGGGACCTCAGGCTATTATGTTCATAAACAAAGCTAAGAATAGAGATTAGGCGGAATGACAGGCTGAGCGCGGCCCAGTAAGCTGATGTACAATTGTGCTGGACATCAACTGAGAAAAATATTTGCAAAGTACGTTACAAAACAAATTTTGAAATTTAACCAATGCAAAAATGCTTGTTACAAGTTACATTTTTTGTTATCAAATTTCATAGTTATGTTGAGCATTCTCACCTACAAATGTGGTAATTCCCACAGTGAAAGACCCTGAATTGATCAATCTAAACATACGACTAATACAATTAACAGTTAAATGGACTTGAATTTGCCGGGCCAGTATTGACCAATCGAAATCCAATAATGGCCTTAACATATTATTTATATATATTTCAGACAAATTCATTCATTAGTAATTCTAACCAGGACCACAATTATTAGATAAACATATTATCATATTATGTGTTTCAAATGAGAGTGGTCATAAACCAGAATTCTGTAATGGTTCAGCTGAAAATAACCACAATCCTATTTTGAAACCTGCCTATTATGTATGTCTGTTACTGTTTCCATACTCAGAACATTAATGGATCCTCTACAACCAGGGGCATGAGGTTATCAGAATAAGAACTAGAAGTAGAAGCTTAATTACAATTTTGAATGGGAGTTAGGGGTCGTTCACATATTACATATTAATTTGTTGGCCAATTTTTACCCCCCCTCCATAATCAGTGACAGTTTTACACATAGCTATTGTTATAAAATTGCACTAGCGTAATAATTTGGAAACGCCCCCTCTCAGTGATTACGTAATATGTGAATGCAAATGACCACTTGGGAAGGGGTTCAACTAAAATTGAGCTTCATGTCAATTATTGAACAAATCTGTTTTTCAGTGTATCTCTGAAAATTGTGTTAGAGTTACCAAGTTTATTATTTTTCTTTTAGAATTGAATGTCTGCTGAAATGAGTTCGCCAGCTGCCCAAGACACTCCTCAACCACTTGGGCCATCCCTTCCCAACTTTGTTGTTATTGGACGCGAGCCTGTTCAACTGACATGTCCTCAATGCCAACAGGTATATCTTACTTTTAGATCATTGAAGCAAGGGACCTCCCTTTTCACACTAATTCACATATTACGACAATCGTCATCTCTGTTAATCTATTCTTTGGCCCGTCATTTAGTCATTATCTCAATGTCATCATAATTTTTTTTCTGTGTAGAATGTAGATTTATTTAACTTGACTCATACAAAGGAGAAGATCATGCTAACTATTTGTAATGTTTCTCATCATTAAAAGTTTAACTTGCTTTAATTTTTGCTTTAAAGCTGTTAAATCTTTTGTTGGGTCATGTTAAAACTAAATCAAACATCACAGGTGGTTAAGAGCAAAGTAAAACATGAAGTGGGCGTGGGGACATATTTGATTGCTGCTGCAATAGCCTTCGTTACTGGTAATGTCATAAAAGTCAAATTTTTAAAGTAATCATCTTGAAAATTGTTCAATTTCATAGTAATAGTATAGCTGTTATGTATTGAGTGAGGCTTTTCCCCTTTTTATGCAAGCCAACATTTCAGGTTGTCTATGTTGCTGGATTGCATGTGTGACAAATGCATGTAAAGATGTGGTTCACTCTTGCCCATCATGTAAATACGTCATCTGCAGAAGACTCTTCATGTAGGGGGCTGTGATAAATCTTCTCAAACAGTTTTTATCAATATCACGGCATTCATACCAATCGAAGTGAAAATGAGATTTTCCTTGATGATTAGCATAATCAGTATTCAACAACCTGAACAGACCATCGACACAAGGCAAAACAGTTCACAATGTAAAGTTCTTCAAAGTTCTTTATTCTGAAAGATCTTCACCTGAGGGATAATTGCTTAAGGTTGACATTCCATTCATTTTACATGAAGTAGAATACAGAACTTATGGAAACTAGAAAGTGGTGTATATTTTATTGATTTTGACTTTGCTTTCATAACTGCATGGGTTTTCAGTTAATGATGTATTATGTATTTATTTATTGGTATAGCTGTTGTTGTATTGTTTTTATTTCATATTATATTGCTGATTAATCAATGTACTAATTGACTTCTTATGTCGAACGAACGTTTTTATCATAATTTTTACGGTTATAATTTATCATTAAAATTGTGTTAAATTTATTTGTTATTGAAATTTTATAATGTTTGACACTTTATTATTGTTCATTTTATGTGCTGCTGTATTTTGTTTTGTAGGTAATTGATGTATTTTTGAATATAATTTGATATGTTTGAATGTTTTTCCTGTTTGCCAATATTTTGTTCTACAGAAACATATAAATGGTTTTACTCTGAGTTCATTTACAAATGCACCAAACAATCTAAATCATTCAAATTTGTTTAATGATCATGTTAAACTAGATTGAGTAAACACATAATTTACGTATTTAAAAGTATCAATTATTTTCAAGAAAATGTCCGATTTTTTTCAGAATAGACTCAGTGAGGACAATGATCAATGAAGGTGATTAATAGATAAATTACGTATCGACATTACTACACCATACCCATATTCTGAAACTGTGTTAAATTACAACTATCAGTTGCTGTGTCATAATGACGGCCCCACCCTAAATTCTCACTGCCACACTAATAGGTACTTATCATGTTGAGTGACTATATCTCTCTAAATACTGCTGGTTCAAAACGTAATATACGCTGGAGATATTCTTCGTTTTCTGGACCTTCCTGTGATTATGTTATGTATTCTGCTACATCTCAAACCTTTTTCCTCGTAGTTGTACAATGTACATAATCTGTTAGTTTAGGCACAATCGCCCATTAATATGAAACGTTACCCGGTGCTCTTACATATGAGTGTGTCAGAGTTGTCGCTGGGAGACAGATAAATATCATTCTGTTTCTACGAGATTACCTCTGTTAAATATAGATTTCAGGTTATTGGGAGTAAATACACTATTAATCTAATAGTCCCTGCTTTAAAGGGGGGGGTGTCACGTCCGTCTATGTCCGCTTGTCTCATAGAATCCAAAAAGGACAGGACATAGGCGGACATAGGCGGACATAGGCGGACAAAGACGGACATAGGCGGACATAGGCGGACATAGACGGACATAGACGGACATAGGCGGACATAGGCGGACATTAATGGACACCTAAATTGCTAAATAAAATGTTCAATTTTTGCTGTTATAGGGGGATCATGTTTTTTGTCCGTTCGGTACCCTATATTTTCAAAACGGACAAAAAATAGAGCGGACAAAAACGGACAAAAATGGACAAAAACGGACAAAAATGGAAATAACATTTAGATGCTTCCTCCTCCTACTCTTCCTCCTCCTCCCCCTGGGTCTTCCTGATCTTCCTCAGTCCTCTTCCTCCTCCCCTCCTCAGTCCTCCTCCTACTCCTCGTCCTCAGTCCTCCTCAACAGTCCTTCTCCTCCCCAGTCCTCCTCCTCCTCCTGAGTCATCCTCCTGGGTCCTCCTCCTGGGTCCTCCTCCTCCTCTTCATCCTCCTCCTCTAACCTCTTCCTCCTCAGTCCTCAGTCCTTCTCCTCATCCTTCTCCTCAGTCCTCCATCCTCCTCCTCAGTCCTCCCCCAGTCCCCCTCCTCCTCCTCCTATTCAGTCCTCCTCCTCCTCCTCCTCCTTCTCAGTCCTCCTCCTCCTCCTGAGTCCTCCTCCTCCTCCTGAGTCCTCCTCCTCCTCCTCCTCCTCTTCCCTCTCAGTCATCCTCCTCAGCCATCCTCCTCAGTCCTCCTCAGTCCTCCTCCTCAGTCCTCCTCCTCCTGGGTCCTCCTCCTCCTCTTCATCCTCCTCCTCTTCCTCCTCGGTCCTCAGTCCTCCTCCTCCTGGGTCCTCCTCCTCATCCTTCTCATCAGTCCTCCTCCTCCCCAGTCCTCTCCCAGTCCCCCTCCTTCTCCTCCTCCTATTCAGTCCTCCTCCTCCTCCTCCTCCTCAGTTCTCCTCAGTCCTCCTTCTCATTTTCTCCCTTCCTGAGTCCTCCTGAGTCCTCCTCCTCTTCCTTCTGAGTCCTCCTCCTGAGTCCTCCTCCTCCTCCCTCTCAGTCATCCTCCTCAGTCATCCTCCTCAGCCATCCTCCCCAGCCATCCTCCTCAGCCATCCTCCTCAGTACTCCTCAGTCCTCCTCCTTCTCAGTCATCGTCAGTCCTCCTCCTCAGTCCTCCTCAGTCCTCCTCCTCCTCCTGGGTCCTCCTCCTCCTCCTCCTCCTGGGTCCTCCTGGGTCTTCCTGATCCTCCCCAGTCCTCTTCCTCCTCCCCTCCTCAGTCCTCCTCCTACTCCTCCTCCTCGTCCTCAGTCCTCCTCATCAGTCCTCAACAGTTCTCCTCCTCCCCAGTCCTCCTCCTCCTCCTGGGGCCTTTTCCTGGGTCCTCCTCCTGGGTCCTCCTCCTCCTGGGTCCTCCTCCTCCTGGGTCCTCCTTCTCCTCCTCAGTCCTTCTCCTCCTCCTCCTCAGTCCTCTTCCTCCTCTTCCTCCTCCTCCTCCCTCTCAGTCATCCTCCTCAGCCATCCTCCTCAGCCATCCTCCTCAGTCCTCCTCCTTCTCAGTCCTCCTCAGTCCTCCTCCTGAGTCCTCCTCCTCCTGAGTCATCCTCCTCAGTCATCCTCCTCAGTTCTCCTCCTCCTCCTAGGTCCTCCTTCTGGGTCCTCCTCCTCCTGGGTCTTCCTGATCCTTCTCCTCCCTCTCAGTCATCCTCCTCAGTCCTCCTCCTCCTCCTGGGTCCTCCTCCTCCTCCTCCTCCTGGGTCCTCCTGGGTCTTCCTGATCCTCCCCAGTCCTCTTCCTCCTCCCCTCCTCAGTCCTCCTCCTACTCCTCCTCCTCGTCCTCAGTCCTCCTCATCAGTCCTCAACAGTTCTCCTCCTCCCCAGTCCTCCTCCTCCTCCTGGGGCCTTTTCCTGGGTCCTCCTCCTGGGTCCTCCTCCTCCTGGGTCCTCCTCCTCCTTGGTCCTCCTTCTCCTCCTCAGTCCTTCTCCTCCTCCTCCTCAGTCCTCTTCCTCCTCTTCCTCCTCCTCCTCCCTCTCAGTCATCCTCCTCAGCCATCCTCCTCAGCCATCCTCCTCAGTCCTCCTCCTTCTCAGTCCTCCTCAGTCCTCCTCCTGAGTCCTCCTCCTCCTGAGTCATCCTCCTCAGTCATCCTCCTCAGTTCTCCTCCTCCTCCTAGGTCCTCCTTCTGGGTCCTCCTCCTCCTGGGTCTTCCTGATCCTTCTCCTCCCTCTCAGTCATCCTCCTCAGTCATCCTCCTCAGTCATCCTCCTCAGCCATCCTCCTCAGCCATCCTTCTCAGCCATCCTCCTCAGTACTCTTCAGTACTCTTCAGTCCTCAAAATTTTTGTCCGCTAATGTCCATGAATGTCCGCTAATGTCCACCAATGTCCATCCAAGTCCGCCAATGTCCGTCCGGGTCCGCCAATGTCCGTCCGAGTCCGCCAATGTCCGTCCGAGTCCGCCAATGTCCGTCCGAGTCCGCCAATGTCCGTCCGAGTCCGCCAATGTCCGTCCGTGTCCGCCAATGTCCCAAAAAACACGTCCGTTGTCTCATAGAATCCAAAAAGGACAGGACATAGGCGGACATAGACGGACATGACACCCCCCCCTTTAAAAGTGGTGATGTAGTAAAATTGCTGTGATTTAGGAAACGTGCCCTCTAAATTTATAGCTTTTAGTATATTTGTATTATATTCTCGAGCTTTTAGTGGCTTTAGCGGCTGTGGTATAATGGAAACGGTCGTTTACTTGTTACTTACGCATCATCTAGGCTATGGATACAATCGATAATAATTGTAATTTGTAAGTTTTGTGTGCGTTATTCTGGTGTCTTAAGTAATTATTGATTTGGGTGAGCCATACTGGGGCTTACGCGATCCAATATTGCTGATAATTGGTGTCGGTTTGACATTAGGGGTCGTTCACATATTACGTAATCAATATTTTAGCAAATTTTACCCCCTCCCCCCTCCGTAATCAACCGTAATCAAGACCCAACCCCCTCCAAACAGCAATATTACGTAATTGCCCGGCCCTGCCTCCCTTGACTTTTTTCCCTGGAAAATACTTTTCTCTACGTTTCATGCTACCCTGATCATGTTATCATGATGAGCCGAAATCATTGTTATGATATCCGGCCAAGCACATTTAGTGCTTGGCCCATCTAAACTACTAGCCGGATATTCTATCAATTTCTAAATTTTGTCACTATCATAGTGAAATTGAGTGGAATTTGAATTAAAATGTTGTCAAATTGTTGTTATTCTACAGGGTAAAAAAGAAAATTTTGATAACGTAATGAACGACCAACCCCCCCCCCCCCCCCGGTAATGAACCGTAAGCATTTGTAAACCCCCCCTCGGCTGATTACGTAATATGTGAACGACCACTTATTAAGAGGTACAGTTTTATTGGTGTAGACAATATTACAGCTCAGATAACGACTGGTATTATTGCATTGGTAACTAACCAGTAACCATTGGTAACCATACTCACTAACCAGTAACTAACCAGTAACCATTGGTAACTATTGGTAACTAACCAGTAACCAGTAACCATACTAACTAACCAGTAACCATAAGTCGAACTGATTTCTTCACAAACGGGATTAGAGTTGAGACACTACCCAGTAATCAGAGTTCTATGTCTTATATATAGTGATCACAATCCTACAATCCTATATATTATATTTATTTATTACTGTTTTTCAAGGTCAAAACTTTTCTTTTGTCTGATAATCAATGATCGTGGTTTTTTAGTATACAAATTTTAAACATACGATTGTTAAATTGCTGAACTTTTTAATTTGTACACCTCATTGTTTGTTTAGTTAGTGATCAACATCCGGTATATACACGTATCAATGGCAGTTGCTGATTTTTCTCAGTCGTTACATCTTATCAACTATTAAGTAGGTGGGTTTTAATCTGAGATATTAACATTTCATTGTTTCCTATTTATTGTGGAACTTTCTGTAATTAAGCCATGTTTATTGTTGAGGTCATAGTGATTCCTACGATAAGATTTTCCTGTAAATCATGTTTTATAACAACCATGTTCGAGGTCCGCTTGCTCGATTATAGTTATTCAGTATACGCAGACGCATACTGTTTCGAAAATAAATACCTTGTTTTAATTGTATAGTATTCGTTGAGAGAATTGTACAGTTCAAAGTAAAGTGCTTGAGTACTAGTACAAGAGTGGATACGCAGATCAAGTTTAAACTATTCCTTTACCTCTGTGTACTAGATATAGTCAGTCGAGCAGTGATAAAATGCGATACTCAGGAAACTATCGAGCTAATGTCTGCCTCTCCGGTGTACCCAGATCAGCCACCTTACCCTGAGGCACAATCCTACCAACCAACTTACCAACCTCAACCACAGCCTCAACAGCAAGCTTACCCTCCTCAACAACAGCAAGATTACCCCCCTGCCCCTGATTATAACGCTCAGCCAGCTCCCACTCCTCCTTACCATGCTGGAAATACTGTGAGTCTAAACGTTCATAGTACTAGTAGAAATTCAACTCTATATTTTTGAACTAAAATTTTCCATAATCTTAAGAAAATGGTAGTTTAGTTTTCGTAGAACTGTTATTGTTAATTGTGTTAAGCGTAAAGGTGTTAATTCGTGCTATTATAACCATTGTTAACTCTGTCAAAATATATATTTTAGACCGTAGTGGTGACGGCTCCAGTCTTCTATGGCTCCTTCCCAATTACAACAGTTTGTAACAATTGTCACGAGGTAACTAGCTCGAGTTTCACTTGAATTATAAAATATACGAAATACACACCCTAAATTGTTGGTTTAGAACATGCAGGACTTCTTCACATAATATTGCGCACCATTATAAATTATAATGGTTAGACAATGTATTATAACAAAGCGTTATAAGGTCAACAGTACAACTACTGTACAACAGCTTATTGTTTAATGATACTCTATACCAGAACGTAACCACGGTTGTGACCCACGAAATTGGCAGTGGATCTTGGCTACTCTGTTTAGTTCTCTTTCTATTTACTGGTAAAATAATCATGCTCTAAGAAAGTTTACAAATAACAGTGAGAAGTCACTGGATATACCGGTTTCATCGACCAAACGTGTTAGAAATAAGGCAAGGAGTCTTGATTTGAATATACCTCGAGATAGATAACTGTGACTGTTTTCTCCACCCTCTTTACATATTTAAAGATGTATCTTTATATAGAGGATACATACAAATTTTGTTTGGGTTCATCCTTATGTTGCAAAGAAGCGCTCTATAAATTTTTATTCCGCTGGGAAGTATGAATAGGTTTTTAAAATTTAATGTTTTTGATAATATTTGATAAAATGGTTGATAAATGTTTGTGGGGAAACAACTTTATATATTTTTCAAAATATTGTGATGATAATGTTTACTTTACTCTACTCTCAGGGATGTGCTGCTTTCTCCCCTTCTGTATCTCCTCTATGCAGGATCATGTCCATACCTGCCCTAAGTGTCAGCATACCATTGCTACTAAACGACTCATGTAAAAGACCCTCTATCACACTGAATATTTTGATAAGCACGATGTGGAAATTAATGTGTTGAGGCCGCAGCAGGTGGAATCGTATACTACATATTATGAATGTATTATACTGCTTACATGACGCTGTGTGTTCACTCTGCACTGACTAAAGGATTTGAGTTGAGAGTTTATCACATTACGCAATGTTTGTGTTCTTTGTCTATTATGTAATATGTAGTTCTCACAATCCTATGTTTCAAGGGTCTTTTATTTGTCTGATAATTGACCGTGTTTTTTATTACACAGATTCGAGTTCTTGATACCTGATAAGAGATTATTGTCTGTGTATAAAATGCATGTATTTTGTTTTAATTTGTTTCACCGAGGAACCAGAATTAATTTGTATTGCTAAGAACACATCACACCATCGTGTGATCCAGATTCTACCTTATCTCGTCATTCGTCATGTATCGAGTTAAAAAGTTCAGTTGGTAGAAAGTTAGAAGATTAAATTTCAAGGAATTAAAATAAAAAGTCTCCCCAATCCCCGGCCCCTCATGAATAAGGCCCTACAACTCTAATTGCTAATACCCCTCACCCTTACTGTCTCCGACTCTCCACTACATTTACTGTATACACAACATTTAGGACAAGGATCGTCCTCGAATTACTACCGTTTAGTAAGATGGACTGTAAATATTGTGGTTCATAAAATGATGATCTAATACGCCCGATACACCTGGTTACTACTTCTGCTGCAATATTCTCACTGAGACGTTTTGAAACCTGATATGAAGCTCAGCTGAATGTCACTAGCATTCCAGGGAGCACAGGTGACCTTCAGCTCAGCTTCAGACTTCATATCGAGTTTCTGCATTCTGGCACTCCAGGGGTTTCTTGTTAGGCTTCATAGATGTAAATTATTCGTTGTTTTGTCCCGTTGCTATGTGACCTTGAACGATGAGCATACCATTTTGCGCTTCTCTTCTTACATTTCACCAGATTGATGCCTCTATATTTACGTCACAATTTACATGTGCGTGTATTGTAAACGTTTTCATTGGTCTACGAAATCTCGACAAGGCGAGGAGAATTACTTTTGCTTCCTGTTTTACAAATAGTGATCTAAGCATTGCAATTTTTTCCAGGATTCAGATTGTATTTGGGTGACTTAATTAGTTGAGGTCACACATTCCCAGCCTTACATTCCGTGTACGAAATTCATTAAATCTTACTCTAGTATTATATCTGATGTAATTCTGATGTGCTAGCTCCAGTTTTATTGTTAATCGTTTAACTTTAGCTGCTGTGTGGTAATGACCCAGTGTACAATGTAGTTAACCAGCGCCGAGCTTGTAATGTACAGTGAGACTACAGATCTGTATAGCTTATTAAACTTTGTGTTGTTGTTAATGTGACGTCAAGTATCGTAGGTTCTTTTGTTTTAGTTTTCAAAGTTGAGAGTTCGGAAAACAAACTGACAATTTGGATCTTCATATAAAGTATAATTGATTGCAGTTGTGCTCTGTGCTGCTCATCACTCATTTGGTTATATTCGAACATCAATCCCAGTTTCTTTTTTATTGACCGTTCCGGTTACCTTTTATAAAATCTTTTCGAAATTCTGGCATTATGAAACCTTGAAGCCAGATAAATATTGTCTTGAATCTTTTCAGCATGCTTAGCTTCATGCTTACAAAAATCTTCTAAATTGACTTACCAAATTCGCAGTCGTGTTGATAAGTTTATGACATGGCATGGCATGGGCCATTGCCCGTATACAATATACATAGTAACTCAGTCTTGAGTTACGAATTTATTGCATGTAGACTGTACATGTTCTGATGCACCGGTATAACTCTTGGTGGAAGGAAATTAGGATCTGGACTGTTGATTTAATACTAAACACATACTAAACACATGTATGTAAATCGATTTTATATTGAGGGAAGAAAGAACCTTCCAAATGATCGAGGATCACGGTTGATCCCCGATTTACCGTGCCACCAGGTGGATTGGGCACGTTAATTTGTTAAATTGGGGGTTCACTACAAATGTACAGGTAAATGGAAGGACTAAGGAAGTAACGGATCAATGACAGGTCATTAGAGTACATTTTATTGTTCAGCAATGTTAGCGTTATACCCATTTCCTTGTACCTGTAGCTTGGGGCTGTATGTGTGCAGTGTTCTTGTATATCAGTTCAATATAATGACAATATTATATCTAGCCACATTTTATTGTATTTAATTAATTTTCATTGTCCCCTGACAAAAACTAGTACCGGTATAACCCCCAGAGATCCAATTATTATCTACATGATATCTCAGACTCTACAAATATTTTATCCGTTCGTTTACTTTTTAAAAGTTAAACAAATGAGTAATTACCTATGTCTGTACGAGAGGTAAATACGTCATACCAACTATTAAGAATAGGATGTAAATCGTTGGAATGTGAGAATAAGCTCACTCCGGTTCGGTCCAGTTTCTCATGCTCTATTTGTTTCTCATGCTCTATTTGTTAGGTGTGTTGTAAGGTTGGCTTTTGTGTTTGCTTTTAGGGCGTAACAAAACAGTATAGCTTCTTTAGCGTTTATGTGAGACCATGTTCCATTTAGCTGAGATATATATAGTATTATGTGTTTATAACAAGTAACAACCTGTAGATTGTAGAATGTAGATGAAGTAATGCGATAGACGCTTCTTGAAGGACTCGTTTTTAAAAGATGTTGATTGTTGAAATTGTGTTTTATTGTACAATATATAAAATATACAATATACATAGCTTATTCTGTATTTTGTAAGTTTTGCTCAAGTTATACTAAAACTGTTTGTATAAGCAGAAAGGTCTGTTTTTATACGAGAGATGCTTGCAAACAAATTCTATCAGTAATCAAGCAATGTATTTGTGTACATTGTAGACAAGTCCACAACATGGCTGTGGAAAGCATGTTTTTTTTCTGTATCATTTCGTATGCTTGAACTATTACTCTTGTTTTTGTATTATCGCTTTTAACGCTAATTGAGGAAGATCTATAAAACTATGTACAATTTCTTTCAGTCGAGTTAATCATAACAGATTTTATATGGAGTTACGACAAGATTAAAGACCTCCAGTGCATTGTGGTAACTGTGGCCATGGTAACGATAATTGAGCATTTATAACCGGTTGTATAGGAATATAATTAACCACAATATAATTATACATGTATTATCACAGTGTTGTGATATGACAAACAAACTAGTAGCTTTTGCTTGCATCTTGCTAGATCTCTTTACTGTCAGTGTTGGTCAATACTCTAAACTCTACCTGATCGAAGTGATTGGATTTGATTCCTTGGTTACATTATTCAGTAATATGATTAAATCGTGTTACACTATCAAATATCAATATTTAATATTAAAGTTGAGGCACTAGCTGTACATTCCGAACCTCAAATAAGCCACTTATCGTGTGCCTCCTGTTCACTTATGACTTATGTGTTGCACAGTCCACTGTTGCCATGGTGACCAAACATAATATTTGTTGCTCGCTATAATATGTAGTATTGTGGCTTTCTTGAACGATTCGTTTACTTTATCTGTGAAACGTTATGTGAAGATTTGAGGACGAGTATAGAATTACACAGCAACACGGCAATTATGGATCTTACCTGGCTCTTACCTGGCTCTTACCTGGCTCTTACATTTAGTGCTGCAGTGTGTTGGACCTGTACGGCTGTACCAGTCACAGAAGCAAGAACACCTGAGCCATGGTGTAATTACCATCACACCTGGCTGCATTCTTCTATTCTTGGAACTACAGTCAAATTATTTATTTATTTGTTGCACTGCCGTATTCTGTCCATACGTAGCGCTTTAACTTGTAGACGGTGATTTTATTACGGACTTGTAGGATTGCCAAATTCTTCCAATTCCAGACCGATTTTGAGAATTTGTTTGCGAATGTACACAAGTATATTGGACAATTCAATTTGTCTTACTTTGTAACACAAGCCCCATGTTATTACAGGATGTATACACTCTGCTGTTGTTTGTTATACTGTGTTAGTCTACCTGTGGGATGAGTAATTATCCGCTTACTTCAGTCTATGTTATTGTTATCAGGTCATGTTTGTATCAACGTATTATGTATAATGTACTCACTATTCTTATTAAGCTTATCTTGTCTTATCTTGGCTTTCTTATCCTTTGTTCGTTAAAGCAACTTACAGCTGCTGCCTTTTAATTCCTTTAGGATAGGAAGTTTGGATAGTTAAACAAATTTTGTGCTTCTTATAAATGATCGATTTCCATTGATTTTTAAACACACATTTCAAAATGACTCCGATGCGAGAGCCATCTTCTATATTCTAGGTATTTGGTATGTCAAGAATGTCAAGAATTCTGGAGCTTGAGACAAATAACAAAGCTTGTTCTCTGAAACGTTACCCCTTGACATCCGGAGAAATAAGGATTCATTTTTGTGACAAGAGAAACTTCTGTCAATCTGCCAATTTCGGTGTTGAGCAGTTGTCCACGAAGTCTGCTAAACATAAACAGTCGAGCTTGGAAAATTTTCGAATTTCGATATGTTCGACCTTAAACTGGTTCAATTATTGAAGTTTAATTAAATCTTCTAACTATAAACATCGTTGATTCAAACTGTTGAGTACTGGGATCGCTATTTAATAAATAATTAAGCAGTTTTAAATCTATATTCAAAACTCCTTCGCTGTTAATCTGCTTCTAATCCAAGTGTGCAGGTTTCCTGTTTCCTGTTTGCTATTAACCAAGCATATCAGTCGTCCACGAATTGTCGAACAATTTATTCTTGCATTATTAAGGCCAAATTAAAGATTAAATGGCTTCAAGAGGAGATATTTGTCTAAATGTTTCTTACAATATTTGGTCCACCCTGTAATTAAATTATAAAACTTGGCCTGTAGGCTGTGATTAAAACTGACACAGTCCATACTTGTTGTCATTCTAAATATAAAATATGTTTTAAAAATACCCTTTTATGAGGCTGGTTCTATACAGTTCACATATTATAATGTATAATGTGTAATGTATAATGTGTAATGTATAATTTGTAATGTATTATGTGTAATGTGTAATGTACAATTATTATGTATAATTTATTATTTATTATGTATTATGTATTGTGTACTATGTATTATGTATTACATATTATGTATTACATATTATGTATTATGTATTATATATGCATAATGATATTGTGACAGAATTAACCGTATATCATGACTTAACCATATAAATATAATATAATGACTTAACCGTATATTTGAAAATCTAGGAAATAATGGCTGCACCACCACCACCATACGCTGAGAAAGGGGGACCACCCCCTCCCCCGGGTGATTATCCTCCCCAAGGACAACCTGCTTACCCTCCTCCTCAACAGGTTATAAACTAATTTAATAACCTTTTTCATTGCCACATTCGTTTTCAACCATTCATTCGTTTTCATCCGATTTATTTAGTATTAGCTTAGTAATCAATTATCTGATAACATTTCACACAATCAGGCGTATCCTCCGCAATATCCGCCGCAACAGGTATTTTGTGTGATCCTAGCTTTATTATATATCCAAGTTTTGGAATAATCATCGCCATTTTTACCACTCATCCCAGAAATTCAAAACTTTTGATTTTTACCATCGATACCAAAAATATCAAAAAATGGATGGTGAAATGGTGATTATGGCGATGACCGCCCCCTCTGCTATAATTACTTATTGGTTTCTTATTAGTGATCTGTGTTCAATGAGCCAAGCTCGAGTATAATATCACGGCGTGTTCTGTCTCATATTTGTGGTTTTATGTACGCTGATACTCTCTCTGCTTATACCACACAGGCCACAGCAAATAATTCTTTAAAATATACTTCTTTAAAAACGAACGTTTGTGAAAACTTGATTAAACGTTTTGTAGGAGTATCGCTATAAATCCATTTCTTCGGGAAAACCACCTTTTACTATAATACTCTGTATATTTAAAATTATTTTGGCAACACTGACCACCCCATTTTAATTAATCATTAATTTGTTAAATTTAGCAATTTCTACCAGAAAGCATGTTTTTGCAAGATGCATTTTGCAATGCGTGATGCCAACTTTGTAGGAAGGGTTATTCGATGCTTTGTAATTTACAAATTTGACCAAAACCCATAATTGGGTAGAGTGGACCGCTGCCAGTGTCTCTCTTTCCAAATCAAAAGTAAATGGTATTAATTTGAATGATCGTCCGTAAATGCAAAATGAAATCGGGCTCGCTTTTCCCCCGAGTACAGCTGCTTTCGGGTAGTTCTTCTTAATCTATTACAATTGTAAATGAATGGGAAAAGCGAGCGACTGATTTATTCTCGATATCATTTTGCATTTACGGACGGTCATTCAAATTAATATCATTTCCTTTTGATTGGGAAAGAGAGACACTGGCAGCGGTCCACTCCACCCAATTATGGGTTTTGATCAAATATCATCTCTTTTTGATTAACATTTAATGTCAGGGTCTACAAAGTGAGGGTCTACAAAGTCGAAATGTTAAACTTCATTTATAAAAAGGAGGTAATTTCAACGATTTAGAAATTTTGCCTTGTGTTTAGGTAAGCATACCTGTCGATCACTGACTGAATATGCAGAATCTAATCGAAATCACGAATGAGCAAAATGCTCACCTTCTCGCACGTGCAAACTTTGAGCGGACGTTGCATGCAGATCCAATATTGATCTCAATAACTCAATTTTAACATGGTTTTTAAGGAACCTGAACAGTGAATATGGCGATTTTGGGTTTTTTACCGAATTTCGTATAACAGTGCTGGCGTGTATTTTGCGCAAATTTCTTAAAAACCTCCACATTACTATTTCTTATTCCTGTCATCTTTGACATTGAATTATAATTTTTTCCCTACTCTTGCCGAAGGCAAAAAGATCGTCGGGAATAAGTAATTGGGTTTGGATATATGAGGTGGCCCGACGGCCCTACGTTGATGACAAAAGTCTGCTCCTTCGCAATATAGACCACTCCCATATAATTATGTGTATAGGAAGTGTCCTATGCTGCGGACGACGTTCGCCATGTGTTAATTAATAACAGTGAAGTTCCTCTTTCGCAAAGTTATTTGGATTCATTTACATTGGTCAAATAAATCTTCAATTTTTTCCCGATCCATGACTCAAAGTGCCGAAGGCACAAAAGAGTCAAGGACAAGGGTTAGCGATCGAGGTTTTTTTTTATATGGTAGCTTTGCGACCGTGTGTGCGAGTGTGCGACCGTACGTGCCTGCGAGCACTGTTATCGCCCACGTGACTACCTGCGCAAAGTTATTTTGCGTGACAATCTGAATTATATAATTGTTGGCGCGCGGCGCTGAACCAACCAAGTACATTATTAATTTCATCATGTACGTATCCCACTAGGCACTAATTAATAGCATATTATTATTATTTTGAGTTAGTATTACTATTTTGCACAGATCCGTGTCAGGTTGCATAAACAATAAACATATGGTTACATAGAAGTATACACGATTTTCAAATTCAATATAGAATTATATTAACTGGGCGGCGCTCGGCAGTCGGCATGTCACTTCGCCATATTTGCATGTTTATATAAACAGTAAAGACTGGGCCGTCCCCAGGTTGTATGGAATATGATAAATACGCCATCACAGATCGGGAAATTGAGCGGCCATCCACAAAAGAAAAGCGGCCGCATTTCTTGTTACCATGCGCGAATCCCGCTCATTTATTAAAAACATAGGTCTGATCTATGACTTTCGATTTTGACCAAAAACAATCAAAATGATGCCCATTTACTCTCCCCCCGCCACTTTGAATTCTTGTTCTGTGAAAATTATCAACAGCGAAAAATAATCACTATAACATAAAGAGATGTCAGCGCTAAGGTTATTTTATAACTTGTCTCGCCACCATGTACATGGGTACAATGCACTGCATTCCTTTATACACAAACGTCTAGAATAACTTTGCGTAGCGAAGCACCTATGCAGTATGCATGCCATTATAATTCACATATTATATAAATAAATTGTTGTTCAAGCTTTTAACCAAGATTCTGTGTCCCAGGCACCAGGAGTTGTGGTCGTCCAGAACATTCACTATGATCGGTACCCAGTTCAAGTGAATTGTCCAAACTGCCGACAGGTATTTCTTAATATTATTATATTATATTGTATGTTTTTCAATGTGCTTGACGTATCTTGAAATACTTACGATAATTATTACATACATAAATGACTTTCTGAATCGATAAAGCCTGTTCACATAAAATTAAACAATAACTGCAATTCTAAAACGTTGAAAGGCTTTCTCACGTTGCTGTTATTGTTTACTATAAAAAGAAATGCACATCGTATAAAGTGTCTGGCTTATTATACTGACAGGTTACTTAAAGTTAATTCTACCAGAAACATGTTTTATTTCACGTCAATAAATTGCATTTTTATAAATGGTGTGGCAAATTCATTTAATATTCGCACGGCACCTTCAAGAAACACCTTCAATCCAGAACTGAATTCCACAACCAAGAGTCATAATTAGTCTGGTTACTCTAAATGTGTTTAATAATTTAATATGACATATTATATGCCTGAAAAAAAAATGGTGTATTGCCCATTGGAGACTATAAAATCGTTTTTTGTCGTTCGGTAAAGCCGATAAATTTTGACTTACGAATTCTCCCATTTGATCCCTTTTTTTCTGGTTCAAATTGAAATATCTGGGCGTGCCTTGTAATTCTCCAGAACGTTTAAAGACTGAAAAGTTATGTGATTGAACTGGTATTTGACGTACGAAGATTAGGTTTATTGGGCTGCATTTCTGAGTTTATAAAAAGTCTGATGGTTAAATTACGAGGTACAGTAAAACCCCGATTTACCGCGCCCCGATTTACCGCAAACCTCGATTTACCGCAAACCTCGATTTACTGCAAACCCCGATTTACTGCAAACCTCGATTTACCGCAAACCTCGATTTACCGCGGCTGTTAATCCACGGTTTATCGAGGTTTTACTGTAATAATTGTATTATGTATTTGAAATGGTAAATTATTTTAACAACTTGATTAATTATTTCTCAGTTAGTTCAATCAAGGGTCGATTACGAGACTGGCACTGGAACCTGGCTAATAGGTGAGCATTACACAATTCAGTAATTTTTACGATTTTAGTCAATCAGTCACTCTTCCGGCACTCTTTTTTCAAAACCCACCTAAATACATTTATTTTGTTGGCACGGGGTTAAAGTTCGAGTTCTGAAATGTCCGTTATCAATAAATTTAATCAGATATTTTATCAAACAATAATAATGATATTTTCAGGGTGCTTCATCTGTATATGTGCGTTTTGTATTGACGCTTGTAAAGATGCTGTCCATGTGTGCCCAAGCTGCGCTCACATTCTCGGAAGAAAAAACCTTATCTAAATCAGCAAATGACTAATTTTCTGTCGGAGTTCCTTTTTAATGAACGATGAACAGTGATAGTATCTAGACTTACAAAATGATGCACATTCTTAGTTAAATTAATCAGCTATAGCTTTGCTTAATTAGCTCGTTGTTATGGTGAGTTGCATTTAAATCAAATAATCTTGTAGAAAAGGATTTTATAAATATTAGTCAAGTGAAATAAGCAGATATCATAATCTTTAAATATGTTACATGCTGGTTTGCAAATTGGTTTAAATCGAAAGATACTTGACGGAGAATGTTTCTTGTCCTTATTTAAAATGAAAGTTTGTATTATAACAACAATTATTGAATTTCAAGAAAATATCGCACTATTAAAAGATTGGATCGGTTATCCTCTAGATATGTGCAGATTACATTTTAAGAGTTTTATTTTGGCAATTTTTGAAGTCAACATAAAGTGGATCTTAACGAAAACCGACATTTTACGAAAATCCTCTTACCCTGTGGCTAATTAGAATATTTTAAAATATTTCTTATTTCCCCCTTTTCAAAGGGAAAATTTACAGTTAAAAAATCAGTAAAGTTTTAAACCTTTACAATGCAAATGCTATCAATATCAGTGGTTTACCTAAAAGCAAATTATACAAAGTTTTTAAATTAATATTTGGAAGTTAATTGCAGTTTTTCAAGTCAGCTGATGCATTTCTTGTTGGTTTTTCTGGTGAAAGCTTTTATATTACCGTTTTGATTGAATCTGTTACAGTGTACGTTTTTTAATTTCTGCATATATTACATAGATAATATTCTAGTTTCCCTATTATAAAAGATTATTATTTGTTTACACAGAGTTATAACTATTGGTTTAACTGATCGGTCAGGTTTTCTGGTTAACAGCTACTCAAACTCTGCGGAAATGAGTATAAATAAAATCGATACGAACCTAAAAAGTCTAATTAATAATTCTTTCATAAACGAGACCCTGATATCAAGCAGAGAGAGAGAGAGAGATAGATAGATAGATAGATAGATAAAGAGAGAGAGAGAGAGAGAGAGAGAGAGAGAGAGAGAGAGAGAGAGAGAGAGAGAGAGAGAGAGAGAGAGAGAGAGAGAGAGAGAGAGAGAGAGAGAGAGAGAGAGAGAGAGAGAGAGAGAGAGAGAGAGAGAGAGAGAGAGAGAGAGAGAGAGAGAGAGAGAGAGAGAGAGAGAGAGAGAGAGAGAGAGAGAGAGAGAGAGAGAGAGAGAGAGAGAGAGAGAGAGAGAGAGAGAGGGAGAGAGAGAGAGAGAGAGAGAGAGAGAGAGAGAGAGAGAGAGTGTTTAGAGGATGTGATCCAACTGGGAATCAAAAGTCAAAACCCGAAACCCGATTTACCAGACACCCTAATTTACTCCGATTCCCCTTTTCTCCAAACTGTACGAATAATCGGGGTTTGACTGTATTTTACACACGTAAACACTTAATTAATGACTAGTTTTTAATAAAATAAATCGGTTCTGAAGATCATCGGTTATCTTACTATATATAAAGCGAGACGATATATATATATATATATATATATACAATGAAAACAACGATTCTACAAACTCAGAGTTTCATGCAAATGCAATCATCAGTGCTGACACTGATGATTGCATTTGCATGAAACTCTGAGTTTGTAGAATCGTTGTTTTCATTGTACAATGCTCCCCTCCCGGGTAGAGCACTCTTGAAACTGGATTTCTCCAAAAGAAACATCATATATATATATATATATATATATAAATAGTTGTTGTTTGGTTTCCCAAAGAGAGTGCTCGACTGCAGTTAAGCAGGAGCATTATAATTCGAACAATTGAAACAAATCAAATTGGCGGGCAAACGATCCGTTTCATGATATGTATAAAAACAATACCAATCATCAGTGCCAAATAGAATAATGAATTGTAGCGCTATGACATGTTGCTCCTTTATAAAATAATTTTTATCGATCATGAAACATTTTCAAAATTATCAAAATTTCCAAAATTTCCAAAAAAACACAAAGCCAAAGATATCTTACTACCTTACTTCATAGACAATTTTAAAATTGGGACGGACACAATAAACTGTTTTTTTGGAAATTTTGGAAATTTTGATAATTTTGAAAATGTTTCATGATCGATAAAAATTATTTTATAAAGGAGCAACATGTCATAGCGCTACAATTCATTATTCTATTTGGCACTGATGATTGGTATTGTTTTTATACATATCATGAAACGGATCGTTTGCCCGCCAATTTGATTTGTTTCAATTGTTCGAATTATAATGCTCCTGCTTAACTGCAGTCGAGCACTCTCTTTGGGAAACCAAACAACAACTATTTATTAGTTATGCTCCTTCGACTCGTCGTTGTTGAGCACTCTCGTTTGATAACCAGAATCAACAATTAACTCTCAAATACGGATCCTAATTCTACCAGCTTCACGGAACTCAGTAAAGAATTTTCCTCTACCACTACACGAAGGCCAACGCAGTTTACAACTTTAAAAGCCAAGGATATCTTACTACCTTACTTCATAGACAATTTTAAAATTGGGACGGACACAATAAACTGTTTTTTTGGAAATTTTGGAAATTTTGATAATTTTGAAAATGTTTCATGATCGATAAAAATTATTTTATAAAGGAGCAACATGTCATAGCGCTACAATTCATTATTCTATTTGGCACTGATGATTGGTATTGTTTTTATGCATATCATGAAACGGATCGTTTGCCCGCCAATTTGATTTGTTTCAATTGTTCGAATTATATATATATATGATGCAAAGACTTATTTCGAAGATCTAATCAACACCGACTTTTAATGGTGTAGGAGTACAGCTACAAAATATATATATATATATTTTTTTTTTTTTTTTTTTTTTTTTCTTGCATATTTTATTTTCTCACCTCTACCACTCATTTGGGATTTCCACCAACCATAACTTGAATTGCTGAGTTACATAAATTTCTAAATTTTAAATTTCTTTTATTTGATTGATTGATATTTTGAATAAATTTACTAACATGTCTTTATATCAGGATGACTGTAAAGGTACATTTTACCGACATTTGAAGTCAAGGCGTTGTTTTACTGATAGTTGTGGCTGACTAATAATATATATTTATCTGTGCCATTTTACTGACACCACGGCATCAACTTTAACGCGAATTTCTGCAAAAACCGTCAAAGATATACAACTGAATCTTTTTTGACTGGGTCAAATGCTTTAATGGCCTCCAAATCAGCATGAAAAAATTAAAAAATTGGCCAAGAAATAGGAGTTTTAGAGCCCAAAATTTGGTACCCCAAGTGGTGTCAAAAACGCGAATTAAATAGGTAATAATTGTTTTAGTCTCTTGAGTCTTGACACCATTTTAGGGTTAGACGGGTTCCTGCTAGTATGTATAAATAGAGGTGCGCTTAGATAAAGAATAGCCGGTAAAAATAGGATTGTAAGAAGTAAAAACAAAATTCGGTTAAGTCATGAATCAGAGGAATGTTATCGCCGGTATTATATTACCTCATGCTGAGATACCAAATGGAGATAGTTCTTTTTTACTACTCATGTGACCGTTACCATCTCACATTTCGAATTTTGATGCTCTTTAATATTGCAATAGGTCAGCCTATGTGTTGTATGTTTTATACATCGTTTCAGTTTCCAAATCGATGCCTGTTGCTGGGTTACCCAAACGTGTGCACATCGATCGACTAGTAAAAAGTCGAAATTCTGGATTGATTTAGAATGTCTATAATTCATGCAGTAGTTTATAGGTTTCTAGTTGAGAAGTTGACAGAAGCAACAAATTTCTATAAGGATTTTAAAGACAATTTGTATAATATAAGGATTTTAAAGACAAGCTTACTTGTGCTTTTTTCTATCAGAGCTTCACTTTAACTTCTATCGATCCCGTTTCTGCACACTTTGATAAATAGCGAAATAGTAATTCTATTCAAATGAAGTTTTGAAGGTTGAAGGATGGATCCACCGCCCTACCAAGGAGGCCCAGGCATCGCACCTGCTGGTACAGCACAATATGGCGGCGCACAATACGTACCGCAACAAGGGTACCCAGGCTATGAGCCGCAGCCTGGCTTAAACGGTGCAGGATATGCGCCGCAGCCTGGCTCAAACGGTGCAGGATATGGGCCGCAGCCTGTCTCAGCGTACCCAGGGGCAGACGGTGCAGGATACGCGCCTACAACAGTTATCATACAACCGGTACAGTTTGGGAGGTTTCCAGTAGCTATGGTCTGTCCTCACTGCCAGCAAGTGAGTGTCTAATTTACCACATGTGCTAATTGCAACATTTGCTCGGTGTTCTCATGCTTTGCTCTTTGCACGAACCATTTAATTTCAATGTGTTTCACAACAAAATTAGTCATAAAACTTGCAACAGTTCGTTTTCTACTGTAAATGTAATTTCTCATTAAATTTGAAATATTTTGCTCAGCAAATCCAGACAAGATTAACATACGAGATTGGACTTCTGACATGGATTATAGGTAAAGCAATAATTATAAGAATTATTCTAGAGAAAATGTATTTAAGATTTCCTTGAGCGTTCCTAAAACGCTTATATATAATAAATAATATATCCTAAGATGGCGTTTCTCTTGTCGCATTATATATGCTACAACCAACCTCCTAAATCCGGTGGGGACTGGGGGGGGGGGGGGGGGGGGGGGGGGTAATTGTGGAATTTTTCAAAAGACCCACCCACCCCCTTCGCTGTTCTAACTGTTTTTTCGGGTAAAAAGACACTCACGCACCCCTTTTGCTGGTTTTTGCGGTACGAACTGTTGAGAAATCACGGTACTAACAGTGTCATGGTATATAAAATAAGATACCCACCCAGAAATTGCTTTAAACAGCTCATTAAACATTGGGAAATGGGTAAATTATACCCACTATTTAGTAGGGATTTTGTTTTCAATGTAGTCGAATTAGATAAAAAGTTACAAAATGAGAAATGAAAACCCAAAAAAAACCCATTCCCAAAATTGAAATTTGAGGTAAAATGGGTTTTTTGGGGTTGGACACCCCCCCCCCCCCTTAGTACCATGTATTAACTTTTTTTGGGGTTGGACACCCCCCCTCCCTTAGTATCATGTACTAACTTTTTTCTGGGCAATGAGCAGCAGACCCACCACTTAGTACAAAAGTACTAACTGTGTTTTGGAAGAAAATATAACCCACCACCCCAACGTCACGTCCAATACTGAGTGTATGATCCCCCGCTCCCCCCCCCCCCCTAAATCCAATATTCAATATTGAATTGTGAACAACACCGAAAATTCTCGCAAATTACCAGTCAACAAAATATATTGATTTTAATTTATGAATATAATTACGGCCTTTGTTTTCAGGCTGTTTCTTCTGTTTCCTGGCGTTCTGCATTGACGCTTGTAAAGACGTGTCACATTCCTGTCCCGCTTGTAACGCATTCCTCGGACGCAAAGCAGCTCTATAATATAATCAAATAGAAAACTGTGTTCAGTTTACTGTTTCCAGTTTGACAGATCAGACTTTGACTGAGGCCAACATCGGAGACTTTTATATCCAGAATCCTCGATATCACCTCAGATCTCCTTAATGAAGAATTAAAATCAACAGCTCCGTTTTTTACACTCAGTTTTTAATATAAAAATTAGACTTGCATGTTTTAAAAATTGTTTTAATACTGGATATTTATTGATTGTTGATAAATAATGATTATCAATCTACATATTATATTCGCTTTGTCGGTATCTATTGATTGCATACTACTTAAACTCTGTGAAAATAAACTAATATATACTGCTAGTATATATTATATATACTAGCAGGAACCAGTATAACCCTAAAGTGGTGTCAAGACTCGAGAGACTAAAATAATTATTACCTATTTAATTCGCGTTTTTGATACCACTTGGGAGTCCACATTTTGGGCTCTAAAATGATTATCCCTTGGCCAATTGTTTATTTTTTCATGCTGATTTGAAGGCCATTAAAGCATTTGACCCAGTCAAAAAAGTTTCAGTTGTATATCTTTTACCGTGGTTTTTGCGGAAAGTCGCTTTAAAAGTGATGCCGTGGTGTCAGTAAAATCGCACGGTTCCATATATATATATTGTCTCGCTTTATATGATCAACCTCCACGTAATAAACTATCTTGCATTAAATTTCAATCACGTTAAATGATATACGCAAGATACGCACGGCTGTTACGTGGGTGGCTAATATAGTGAGTGGGTTTTCTAAATGCAGATCCCTTTTAAGAACTCGGCCTTTTACCTGTGTCATTGTCTAAATATAGATCAGCAAGAGATCTATCTCTTGTAAAAAGAGACGTTGCAAGCCCTGTCTCTTGTAAAAACAACCACTTTTGTAGATACACACAGTCTCTACGTTTGATGCCTAGGCAGCTGCAGTCGATACCTCTTATTCAGAGACCCGATATAATAATGCTTCGAATTGGTATCAAAATGTACATGGTATTGTATATTTTATTGTGGTTTTAGGAAGTAGATTGTAGAATTAGTACACAACAATTGAGTATAATATTACCATCTACAGGCACCGCATCTGATACCCTCAATTCGGTACTCAAGGAGCAAGTTCAGCAAACCATACATTCCTGGACATTATTTTTCCCTCCGCAGTTGTTTTCGACTTCTGAATCCAACAGGGGTTTCTGTTGCATCTTCTCTATATTTTTATGCTCAGTAAAAGCAGGGCAGTTGTTTTTGTTTAGTACCGTGAGTTGAAAGTCGTTAGGGGCTGTTCACATATTACGTAATCAATATTTTAGAAATTTTCACCCCATCTCCTCCTCCTTAATCAACCGTAATCAATACCCAACCCCCCTCCTGACAGCAATCTTACGTAATCATGGCCTAACCACCCCCCCCCTTCATTTTGACTTTTTTCCCTGGAAACACTGTTCTTTACGTTTGATGCTACTCTGAATTCTCTGATCATAGCGAGCCGAAATTATCATTGTTATCATATCCGGCCAAACACCTTCTAAACTACTTTCCATAATAGTCTGATATCCGATCAATTTCAAAATTTCAATTTAAATATTGTCAAATTGCTATTATTTTAGAGGGTAAAAAATAAAATGTTGATTACGTAATCAACAACCCCCCCCCCCATAATCAACCGTAAGCATTTGGAAACCCCCTCCCCCTCGGCTGATTACGTAATATGTGAACGATCCCTTAATGTAATCACTGTAGGTCTGTACTATGAAACTTGATACTTCAATATTTTGATCATAGTACGCATATTAGTGTTCACTGGCCATGTCATTGTTAAATCGAGTGATAATATTTCGTATCATTTCGACTTTTGTGCATTTCGTTGAATACTAAATTTCACGAGTAACGCTATAATGACTTTTCAGTCATACATAAGTTCGAGGAAAATGTCAAACTTCAGCTTCATAGAACTTGAACAGTTTTACAACGGTAATTGTGCTTTAAATAAATATCACCGTTCCAAAGTTATTACATATTAGAAATTTAATGTATATGAGTTACATGATTGAAGGTGCGGCCGAAGAGAGGTTAGTATCGTGAGAATATAATTATAAACAGGGACAATCATGGCTCAGTTTAAGATGCAGTAAACTCCTGATTTCTGCAGAATTGATACAGGGTGGGCCAGAACGTACAACTCTTAAATAACGTATTTCTCTTCAGAATAGCACAAAAACTTCAGGAGGTAACGATTTGGGTATACTTTAGTGGATGTGGTTTGTCACTCCCTCTTTTTTCCCTGTTTCACAATTCACGGTGACAGGCCTCACCCACTGTGATGTGTGATTTGCAAACTTTCTGGGAATCTAATCCTATATGGGCCCATGTCTATAACCGCTTAAAATGTTGTGCAATTCTGACATGAAATAGGAGTTATTCAAGAGTTGCGCATTATATATATATGGGAACTGGGAAGTTAATTATGGCCTACCATGTAATTGCTCTCTGATTTGATGTTGAGTGTTATCGGCTCTCAAGATAATAAGAGTACCACTTAAATGCATTAGATAAATATCAGCGAGACAAGTCACGTTCGTCACCAAACCTCTACCCGACAGTTACCAGTCGTTACAAGAAGTCAGTACGCGAGTGAAGTAGCTATATCAATATCTGATATTATATTAGTGTCTGCAAATTTAATATCTTCACGATTCACGAAGCTGACGATAAGAGGTGTGCTCTGACGATAAGTTGATTTGTGATACCGACAATAATAAATTAGTATCAGTAGATTACATTTTAAAACCAAATTTAATAAATATTTATAGGTGTTCTCAAGAATCTGTATCAATTGGGGGGGGGGGGGGGGGGGGGGGGGGTCCAACCCGATGTCCGATATGAGGGTTGATGAGGCCAAAATCGGAATCGGAAAAATCGGAAAATTGAGAAATTTTAGAGAATCGATCTCTAAAACCTCTCAGAAGTGATATAATTCAACCAGAACCCCTACATATGCTATATTGTTATGAGAAAACGAACTAATTGGACATTCCAATAGTATGTTTTATGTGTTTTTCCACTGCAGGGGCTAGTATGCTCACTACTAGTTGGAGTTGTCATGTACTCCCAGACCCGAGTGCTTTGGCCTCTTGACGTGAGATCGATTGTTTCTGCTCATTAATTTTATCCCTGTTACTTGTTATTATGTATTAATACAACACTAGGTACCGGGTTATATTTTGTGGTCCGGTCTTTAAACATACCATAAAATCACTAGTACACTGCACCTGAAATGTATAGTCAAGTACATTTGTATCGTAACACATGCTTGGCTGGGGGATCATGTTTTGTGTCCGTTCGGTACCCTGTATTTTCAAAACGGACAAAAAGTAGGGCGGACAAAAACGGACAAAAACAGACAAAACATTTAGATGTCCTCCTCCTCCTCCTCATAAGTCTTCCTCCTCCTGAGTCCTTCTCCTCCTCAGTCCTCTTCAGTCCTCTTCCTGACTCCTCGTCCTCGTCCTTCTCCTCAGTCCTCCTCACCTTCCTCCTCAATCCCCTTCTCCTCCTCAGTCCTACTCCCAGTCCTCCTCCTTCTCCTTCTCCTTCTTCTTCTCTTCCTCCTCCTCCTCATCCTCATTTCTCCTCCTGATCCTCCTTCTCCTCCCCATCAGTCCTCCTCATAGTCGTCCTCCTCCTCCTGAGTCCTTCTCATCCTCCTCCACCTCCTGAGTCCACCTCCTGAGTCCTCCTCCTGAGTCCTCATCCTCCTCCTCAGTCATCATCCTCTTCCTCCTGAGTCCTCCCCAGTCCTCCTCCTCCTTCTCCTCCTCATCCTCCTCCTCATCAGTCCTCATCCTCTGTCCTCCTCATAATCGTCCTCGTCCTCGTCCTTAGTCCTCCTCCTCCTTATCCTCCTCCTCAGTCCTCCCCCAGTCCTCATCCTCCTCCTTCTCCTCCTCCTCCTCCTCCTCCTCCTCCTTCTCCTTTTTCTTCTCCTAATCATTCCTCCTCCTCAGTCGTCGTCCTCCTCCTCCTCGTCCTTAGTCCTCGTCCTCTTCAGTATTCCTCCTCATTCCCCTCCTTATCCTCCTCCTCTTCAGTCCTCCTCATCCTCCTCCTCATTCTCCTCCTTATCCTCCTCCTCCGCAGTCCTTCTCCTCAGTCCTCCTCCTCCGCAGTCCTTCTCCTCCTCGTCAGTCTTCCTCCTCGCCAGTCCTCCTTCTCCTTCTTCTCCTCCTACTCCTAAGTCCTCCCCCTCCTCCTCCTCAGTCCTCCTCCTCCCTCTCATCCTTTTCCTCCTTCTCCTCCTTCTCCTCCTACTCCTAAGTAATCCTCCTGCTCCTCAGTCCTCCCCCAGTCCTTCCCAGTCCTCCTTCTCCTCCTCCTCATCCTCAGTCCTCCTCCTCATCATCCTCCTCAGTCCTCCTCCTCCTCAGTCCTCCCTAAGTCCTCCTTCTCCTCCTCCTCATCCCCTCAGTCCTCCTCCTCAGTCCTCCTCGTCCTTAGTCCTCCCCCAGTCCTCCTTCTCCTCATCCTCAGTCCTCCTCCTCAGTCCTCGTCCTTCTCCTTTTTAACAGTCTTCCTCCTCGTCCTCGCTCTCGTCCTCCTCCTTCTCGTCTTCCTCCACCAATCCTGCTCCTCTTCCTCAGTCCTCCCTCTCCTCTTCAGTCCTCTTCCTCCTCAGTCCTTCTCGGTCCTCCTCTTTCTCCTCAGTCTTCCTCCTTCTCCTCCTCCTCCTCAGTTCTCTTCCTCATCCTCCTCCTTCTTCTCTTCCTTCTCCTCCTAATCAGTCCTCCTCCTAATCAGTCCTCCTCCTCAGTCGTCCTCCTCCTCGTCCTTAGTCCTCGTCCTCATCGTCCTTAGTCCTCGTCCTCATCCTCCTAGTCCTCGTCCTTAGTCCTCGTCCTCATCCTCCTAGTGCTCGTCCTGGTCCTCCTCAGTCTTCCTCATCTGTCCTCCTCAGTCCTCCTTCTCCTCAGTCCTCCTCCTCCTCATCAGTTTACACAATTTATTGTTACTAAAATGTTTTTAAACGCATTTGAGTCTGTAACATATTGACATGTTACTGTTACTGACTCAAAATGTGCTCGAGAATTTTTTTGTTTAATAGAGTTTTACTCTCCAGTACTATGGAAAAGTTGTTACATAATAAATAAAGATTTTGATAAATAAAGTGATTTTCATCCCTTTTAATGTTATTGAAAATTGTGTAGACTATTCTTTGTATCTAACTGAGGATTGGAAGTTTGAGAAAGGACCAGTCATTAACCGTGCTACCCATTTCTGCAGATAGCCTGTTACAAATTGTGGAGACAAATTGTGGAGACAATTTAAATCAAAAGTTACTAAAGCGTTCGCTATTTGTTACGATTGTTATTACCAACCGTACCTCTTTCAATTGTGGACCGGGGTGGATGTTACTGTCAAACAAGAGTTGATTCGACATTGTGTTGTTTTTCGGACGAAACGATTCTTGTTTGGAACAAGATACCATTTTGGAGTTCTGGGACCACCACCAATCGATTTCTTGTCATATTTAAGTACAGAAATAGCTACCTATATCGCCTAGAAACCTCAGAGGGAAGATTTAAATTTTCCCGATTTTTCCGATATGAGGGTTGATGAGGCCAAAATCGGGATCGGAATGATCGGAATTGATCGGGTTGGACCCCCCCCCCCCATCAATTGTAACCAACCGCCCTTCCTAATAATGCCTAATCAAATAATTGTATTACATAAATCTGTGGTTTCTGGTATTCGTACTCGTTATTCCAATTTGGGGTTTAAATACTTGACGAGGTTAACCCTTATATATAGGAAATTGGAGTTTTGTCACCGGTTACACGAAGTAGCGAACTTGCTTAAAACATGACAGGAGACTCCCATAACTTTCTGGACATATTATATATATGATAGCTATATGATAGCTGTATAATAGCTATATGATAGCTGTATAATAGCTATATGATAGCTGTATAATAGCTGTATGATAGCTGTATAATAGCTGTATGATAGCTGTATGATAGCTGTATGAGTGATGGACAAGTTATTTTTTATAATATTACAATTTTGTCGATCTTCATCTCATAAAATGTAGTCGGTGCTCAATGTTTCGTAGTTTCTTCAGATTGTTAAACAAACTTTCTTATAGAAGTGTCATCAAATTTTACATATTTATTATATTTTGTTCTCCTTAAATTTATAAAAAGGATCAGAATTCGAGTTCTGCTGATTATTTAATAAGGCGAGACATCCTGTCATGCCATACATTTTTTGGATCGCATTTTTAGGGATATATCCAACAAATGCTTCCAGAAACCACGAGAGCAATTAGAATTTAGATCAGACCTCTTAAACAAGTTAACCACTACAGTACCACTATGATTAAAGATAGAATATCATATGCTTTGCCACACCGTTCATGCTCGAAAATACTGCTGAGCTCTTTAAATTTAGACGCACACGCTCCGCACTTCACCTGACAGGTTGATGTCCTAACAGCTGTTCTGTTCTGACAAATCAGCCAACTCTCGACCCACAAGTTTACTGAGGACAGGAAACTTCAAGAAATTAAGATCGCCATAAACTAATGGCTGTACACTGCACTGGACAGTCAATTTTGTAATCAACAGCCCGTTGCATTTGTGACAGTGTTCCAATTTCTATAAATCTGGATTGCTCCTGCAAGTTTCACATAAGGAAAGTGCCGAATATCTAGATTTCACTGAGTGTGTTACAAATTTAAACGTTTGCAAGTATAAAATCAAACAAACTGAAGTATTGCGTGATAGTGCAGTTGAACTGTCTTACCCACGTTTTAGTAACTTTTTCACAATTGCTCAACTAATTTTCACCGTTCACAAACAGGTCCCTCTATTTATAGATATACAAGTGTAACCATAGTGATTGTATCTTGTAGTTAGAGGTGTATACAGTACAATGGTTAATGGACCGGGGTATGAATATTTATTTGAGTGACTACGATTTCAGAGGCGACCCTGCTGTTTGGAGAGCTCCGGGATAAGAAACTACTTAAGAAACTTCCCGATGATATATCCAGTAGAATTGTTGGACTACTCGACCAATGTGAGTTATATACTATTCTGTCCGTACAATTTAATAAATAACGAGTTCTTCAATTTATAAGTTTGACAAATTTATCTGTTTTAAATGAGCGTCATTAAAATTTTAATGGAGAGTAAAGCTGTCAGACACGATCGGGTAAATTGTTTTGGCTGAGACTCCTCGATTATACTGCGTGTAGTTGTTACCCTGAAATAATATATCAGACGTTATAGCCGAGAAAGAAGCTTCTTCTCCTGAAGGATGTTTGGAATTCGACTCGAGGCGTGATGGGGAGGTGGTTCCGGCCAACTGTTACTCCAGCAACGATATAACTGACTTCATATGGAGAGGTACCTTTTTCTAAATTAAATTCAGAGCCCATTTAGAGTCAAAATTTAAATTACAGGACAACCTATTTTCAATTTCGTTACCCGGACCTGGTAACCTGGTAACCTGGTAAGTAGCAACCTGGTAACCTGGTAACCTGGTTCCCTGTACTAATCTGGAAACATATAAGGTTGTCAGATTGCGACCACAAACGACTGCAGGAAAGTTACTTTGGCTACCTTATTTCAATAAGCTCGAACGAGCTTTCGTCAAATTTATACAATTTTGTCTCATAAATGATTTCATAACCGCGATCTGTCACCAAATCTTGCTCAAAGCACTTCCATCAAAATCCCCTCATACAATGTCCCTTTACAGGGAATGTTGAGGTCAAAGGACTGATCAAAGGACAAAAGCTTCTCAAGAACTTCTGTATTGCGCACGGCAATCGGCTGTCATTATTTGCAGGTTTATTACACATTTAAACTTAGATTCTTTGAATTAGATTCGTAAGTTACGTACTTAATTTTACTTTTATAATTTAATAAGGTTTTACAGTGAATGCACCCTTTGGAGCCGAGCTTGCTTATTGAACAGTGAATTGAAGATGGTGTACACTGTACAGTCACAGTACTACACATCTATAAGTTGCCTCCCCACTATTATACACATAATTAATATTATGTACGTCACCTAATCAGTGTAGTTTTATCTATATTTTATATAACGAAGAATAAAGGAGAAAATGCGATAAGCCTGGACCAAAAATGTATGACTCAAATATTGTTAATTATTGATTATTAATTAAATAACAATATTGACTAGCCTTGAATATTCTCAGGTTCCAAGAAAAAGCCCCTTAAAGCTCAGATGGTTCTGACAAATGCTGCTCATGTCGAAATGATTCCAGATGGGAAGAAGCATGGCAACCTTTACTCCATCACTGAACTCGCCTATCCAGTGGTACATGCCTACTTTTCTTTATTTATTGATCCAGAATCTGGAGTTTATCGGATAATGTTGAAAAAAAGTGGGGAAAATTACTTTATAATTAGCTGTGTGACCTAAATCCATTGTAGCATTGTATAGTGTATACTACCATGTATCATTGTATACAGTATACATGGTATACATGGTATATATGGTATACATGGTATGCATGGTATACATGGTATACATGTTATACAGTATATGTATTTAATTTTAGATCTCTTTTATGCATAATAGTTCATACTTCATTTGTCTCTCCTTTTTTAAAGGAAAAATCATTCCTAAGATTTGTTCAATAAAGTTCTGACCACATTCAGGTTACGGTAAAATTTCCTTCGGTGGACGAAGGACAACAGTGGTTTGAAGCTTACAAAGCAAGCCAACTTTCTACCGTCTCGAAGGATAACGAATTAGTTTTGTCTTACGCCGAAGAAGAAGAAGACGATGAGATGCTGTATGAGGCGCTTGAAGATATCGACGATTCTACGCAAAGCGCAGGGTCGTTTGCCACAAGTCACAGTACTGGAGAGTTGTCAAAAAGCGTCTCGTTCGCTAGTCAAGACCTGTTACAGAGCGAGGGTGGGAGTGTGACACATTCGGACAGCAGACAGAGTCAACTGTCACTAAACAGGACTGACAGTCAACTGAGTCACGTGTCTGAAAAAAGGAACGAGGCTCCTTCTCCGGAATTCAGCGAGATAATCAAGGTACCTTCTTACCTTCTACCATAAAGGTAGACAATTTAATTCGTCTGCCATAATATATGTTCATTATATATGCAAGCCTCTTGATTTATAAGTAACCGTAATGTTTAAAGCTCTAATTTACAAAAACAATACATTCTCAAGAGGTACTGATTCTGGGACAGGGATAATATGTGGAGAGTGGTATATGTCGTTAATCAAACTGAGTTGAGAACTAATAGAGGTGGTGGTAGTAGTTATTGTTGAGAACTAATAGAGGTGGTGGTAGAAGTTATTGTTGAAAACTAATAGTAGTTATTGTTGTTGTCCGATCAAAATACTATAAGTACATTTTTAGTGGGATAACCCTGGTGTCGCATACCTTTCTTAGTCAAATTCTGATCTCACAGTACAATGCGGCCATGGCTCAGCTCTTGTTTTATTAAATGTGACGACCTGTCACTAATATAACCATATTAGGGTCCTCAATTTAGAACTTATGTGTCGTTATAATGTACAAGAAACCCGCTAGTCGAAAGCTGTTTATACTAACTGCTAAGTAACGTCGCAGTAAAACTTACCTGAAGCTGCACTCTTATTCTAACGTATAGTTTCCCTCACTTCCGACGTTATTTAAAAACTTTACTTCAATGAAAATTCTAAAAATGCTGTAACCCTGCTAAAAATCGCGAGTTTCAGCCCCATTAGCGAGCGGAAATATTCTTCAGCGAAGGGTCACTTTTTGGTAAATTTGTTGTGTTTTTATTCTGTTGCCGGGGAGACTAAGTCAAGTTTAAAAGTAGTTTCAGAAATGTTTACCGTTGGACCAAAAAAATCACATACAGTAGTCTGAGATTGCAATTTAGTATTATCTTTGAAAAAAATGTAAACAGTAACATTTTGACTGCTAAAATTAATGCTAAACTTCGCCAGGAGGAAGATATGATGAAGGTGCTTGAAGAAGATGTGCCAAGTTGCTGGGGCGAGTTTAGCTACCAGCAGGTGTACCAGACTGAATGGAGCTTCAACCTCAGCCAAACAGTTCTTCCGGGCAAAGTGAGCCATATTTTAGCCAACAATTTATTGCGACAAATTTCATTTCACATTACATGCGTCGAAGTATAATTGGGATATAAATCTGATATGCAACAATACACGTGTAGTTATGTAGTAGTAGTAGTGATCTGACACGTGACCTGACACGTGACCTGACACGTGTAGTAGTAGTGACCTGACACGATACAATACTCCTCCATCCTCAGAATCTGTTAAGTTTGAAAAGAGGACAGATGGTGCTGATAAAAGAGCAGGTTAATTCTGACTGGTGGGAAGCTGTGGATTGTCGAGGAAAAGAGGGTTTTGTAGCTTCTTGCTTTCTGTCACTCGCTTTCGAGTAGCAAATGTTACACGCCACATACGAATTACGATCATTTAATGGCATGCAGTTAGTTTAAATATCTTCCCAGAAATGCTCAGTTATCAACCATAAAATTGGTTACTTTTCAGGAATTTTGTACGAGTTCTTCGAATTTGACATTTTATGGCCAGACTTTTAATAAGCTGTTTTAATAAATTTCAATATCTTGGGATCTTTTTTGCTATATCATGATACTTTAACTGTATAAGTCAATAGAACTCTTTAGCGAAAACTGTCAATGTTGTTATAGCGATTTTAACCTGATCGTTTAAAATGCGGCCACCACATTTTGCCTGTCAAATTAAATGATTTCATATGTTATTGCTTTCAACAGTTATATTGCAATTAATCAAATTTCCCACAACGAGAGTTTCTGGCTTCTGCACGATTGCATAGAAAATTTATGAACTTGCCGACTATTTAAATACAAAACCTATCCAATATTGATTATGAGATATTTTTTCGTTATATAATAGCTGTCTCTTACTCTGTTCAATATAAATGGTTTAATTGGATTCGCGCTGGACCCCCCCCGGCCCCCCTCTCGCTGGACCCCCCCCCCTATTGCTGCTTGTAAGAGCTCGTTATTATGCAGCTGCTTCTGTTTTTTATAAATCTTCTATCAATTAAGGTGCTTGTGCAGTAAATAGAGTGAAGAAATCAACTTTAAAAAAATAATTTTACCCAGCAAGTTTAAAACACACCGGATCATAAGTTGTCTCATAGTACAATTATAGACTCTGAATAATAGCTTGATGGATTCTTGCAAAAACACCCCCACCCCTGAAAAACAGTTACCCACAAGAACAAGTTAGTATAATCTCTCGACGTAGATATTAGCGTTCAACCAATTCTGTTAAAATTCTGATTGCACCCTGATTGCTGACCTACAATGTTTTCTGGATCAAGCTGAATACAATTGATATGTCAGAGTGGGGTATTATAAGTTATTTTGTAGTTTCCCTGTTATTATTAAATCCTATTGGGAATGAAAAGCGACAGCGAGATAAATCTACCAGTCAAACCCCAGTTTCTTGATCAGTGGGTTGAAGAGACCCCGTCATTACCAACGTTCTCGATATCATATTTACTTCTCTAGTGGTTTAAGAACTCTTTACAAAACACGGGATTTGCTCAAAATTTAAAAATATTATGTCTCAACTATCATTCTTATATCACGAGATGCTGTAGTATAGGGTTCACTTGAGTTAAGTCTATAATGACTAATGAGTCTATAATGAGTCTATAATGAGCCTATAATGAGTCTATAATGAGCCTATAATGAGTCTATAATGAGCCTATAATGAGCCTATAATGAGTCTATAATGAGCCTATAATGAGCCTATAATGAGCCTATAATGAGCCTATAATGAGTCTATAATGAGCCTATAATGAGCCTATAATGAGCCTATAATGAGCCTATAATGAGCCTATAATGAGCCTATAATGAGCCTATAATGAGCCTATAATGAGCCTATAATGAGTCTATAATGAGCCTATAATGAGCCTATAATGAGCCTATAATGAGCCTATAATGAGCCTATAATGAGCCTATAATGAGCCTATAATGAGTTCGTCTGGCCGTGCCATAGAGGAAATTGTAAGTATGTCGGGGGAGGTTTATTCTCAGAATTGTAATTATGTCGCGAACAAATTGGATCCAATCCAAGGTCTTGTCCGGAGAAGGCCTCGTTCACACAGAGACATGTTAAATAGTAAACGGAGTTATCTGGAAATGTTTGTTTTGTTAAATTAATACAAGGTTCCTGTAAACCGGATAACAGATGAAATCAAATGATTACACATATTGATTGAAAGTTTACCTTAAATAAACTGGTAACAAACAGTGCATTATTAAGGTGCCCTACTGATCACTGTAGTTAAGTAATTTATAATTGCCAAAAAAAACATCCGCCGACAGGTTTCAAACACAATCCCGGGTAAGTGCTAAGCTCTACCACTACGAGAGACCTAATAAGCTAATAGCAATATTCAAATCTATATACTCGTAATAAAGTGGCTTGTTCTCTGAGTTTTAGACATTGTCGTGGGATGGTTCATGGACTCCGAACTTCTTGATTGGGTGATCTGCGAAAGGATTCCCAGACGAGAAGCTGATCACTGATGGGTCAAAAGTTCGTCATGTCTGGCGAGATGACGGATGCTCTAAAGTGTCAATACACTTTGGCGTTAGTTGGCCGCTCTGTCCAGTTTATGTTCAGTGCCATCCTCAGCATTTTTGTATAACAACCATTTATACGCTTTGCGAGGGTCTGGCTGATAGTCCATGGTTCAGAGCCACATAGAAGGATGGACTCGACTGTAGCCTGGAATAATACCTTGAGATCTCTACCATTACCGGACTTCCATATCATCTTCTTCTTGTGGCATGACGCCCAAGCCTAATAATGATACATATTATGCACTATGTCAGTATATCCTGAGCGATGAGGCTCTATCAGAGGCTGTATTGGTAAACCTTCTCTCAATAAAACACAGTTCGTTACCTGTTTAGGTAAACTTACCTGTTTATTGAAGGTAAATTTCCAATTCAATGTGTGATCATTCCAGCTGATAACTAGGTTTTAGGAACCATAAACAATATACAATACAAGGCCTTCTCTGGGTAGTCTTCTCCGAACAGTATTATTTATCGATGAAATTCCGGAACTTTTGCGATATTTTGGATCAAATTTGCCATAATTCAAATTTCTGTGTTTGTAACGCGCTTAGGCTCATATATGATCATCATTTGTTTAAGATCCCGCGCGCGCTGCATTGCCAGTCGCGTCTAGTCGATCGGTCGATCTGGCCCGGCCCCACGTTCGTGTGTCGTGGTTTGTGGTTCGGCACTAGGGTTGGCCCAATGCAACGGGTCCATACTTGCCTACCGATAATTTACCCAAAATCGTTATCGATTATCGCGATAATTTTCAAGAATTATCGCGATAATCAACCAATTTTTATTAGGGGAAAATAGCCAAAATTTAACATATTTTTCTAATAGTAATCACGATTGAATGGACTCTTGATTGTGGATTGATTGTATGAATATTTGAAGATCAGCTGCAGATCGAAAGGGATGGAGAAATGTTACTAGCCTGTATGATAAAAAGTGATGACGCAGTACAGTACCTACTAAGATAAAAATAACTAAAATACATTGATTAAGATTGTAATGATATAACTATAAGGCTAAATATCAACGATGTTATCAGATCAATTCAATTAAAGTAAAAATCTCTTTGTTATTGTTCAAGTAGTTCAACAGTGAAATGTGGAGCTGTTAGCTGCAACCAGCTCAACGGAGACCGTTTTGTCAAAGAACTTGTCCCCTCAAAGCAGATCCCAGCGGCTGAACCCTGTTCCGTCCCCCTGCTCACATTCACATTTCTCTGTACTGTTTGTTTCTTCTCCTCCATTTTCCTCCGTTGGTTCTTCTCCATTTTCTTCTGTTAGTTCCGGGGTGCAACCTACGTCAATCTCACTAACGTTACCTGACTTCTCCTCGAGTAACAAGTATTCCCATTTCAGGTATCTACTTCGTCCATACTTTTCCTCTACGTCAGAACATTTTCCGGCGTCCGTCATTTTCTTAACTTCAGCTGCTTTGAGTTCTTTGTCAAATACATTTACCTTAAAGAGCTCTCCACCAAAAGCATTTCTATCTTCAAACCCACCCCCATAAGAGTCGAACTCGTTCTCCAGAACCATATACCCGTCCAACCTAAGCTTCTTACCAGAGGGGGTTATGATGATCCGAGAAGGATGCCATCAAAGTACACACTAGCTGCTCTGGTAGTGGGACTCCACGTGTAGCAAACGTGTCTCCATATCCCTAGTTGTTCAGTTACCTTATTTCCCAACAGTGCCAAACGTCCCGAGATATCCGTCATCGTCTGAATAGATCTCCTCGACATAACTAGAGGTTCCGTAAGCAAACCACCACTTACTACTACCATGCCGTACCTTCTTCACCCATCCACATACCGAGAAGGACTCATCTAGGGGTTCCATTCTTGGCTTTAACAGAACGTAGTCTTGAGCAGTTGCTCCAAACTTTAGTCCTCTGTAGCGTCTTTCTACCAGTCTTTGTCCAGCATCGTGCGAGGTAGAGTCTGCGGTGGTGGTGGCAAGGGTTCCGAGTAGGAGGAGGAGAGATAAGGTGAGCAACATGTGAGCTCTCCTACAAATACTCTGGTTTATAAACACGATCACATTGTCAGACGATATAAGTTTCCGGGTTTTGACTTTTGACTTTATTAGAAACATTCCGGATATGATTGGGTCGTTATTCTAAAAAAAATTGTCAAGAAGTGTGGCTCACCGGTCACTTAACGTCACTTAGAGCTCAATTATGGCGACCAAGGTCTGCGACTGGCTGCAACAGGTGCATATGATCTGTGACACGAGATATCCTTGTGTTTGGCTTGTACTAACTCTAATTGGGTATTTCGTCACAAGTCATCCCCTTACCAGAGGGGGTTATGATGATCCGAGAAGGATGCCATCAAAGTACACACTAGCTGCTCTGGTAGTGGGACTCCACGTGTAGCAAACGTGTCTCCATATCCCTAGTTGTTCAGTTACCTTATTTCCCAACAGTGCCAAACGTCCCGAGATATCCGTCATCGTCTGAATAGATCTCCTCGACATAACTAGAGGTTCCGTAAGCAAACCACCACTTACTACTACCATGCCGTACCTTCTTCACCCATCCACATACCGAGAAGGACTCATCTAGGGGTTCCATTCTTGGCTTTAACAGAACGTAGTCTTGAGCAGTTGCTCCAAACTTTAGTCCTCTGTAGCGTCTTTCTACCAGTCTTTGTCCAGCATCGTGCGAGGTAGAGTCTGCGGTGGTGGTGGCAAGGGTTCCGAGTAGGAGGAGGAGAGATAAGGTGAGCAACATGTGAGCTCTCCTACAAATACTCTGGTTTATAAACACGATCACATTGTCAGACGATATAAGTTTCCGGGTTTTGACTTTTGACTTTATTAGAAACATTCCGGATATGATTGGGTCGTTATTCTAAAAAAATTGTCAAGAAGTGTGGCTCACCGGTCACTTAACGTCACTTAGAGCTCAATTATGGCGACCAAGGTCTGCGACTGGCTGCAACAGGTGCATATGATCTGTGACACGAGATATCCTTGTGTTTGGCTTGTACTAACTCTAATTGGGTATTTCGTCACAAGTCATCCCCTTACCAGAGGGGGTTATGATGATCCGAGAAGGATGCCATCAAAGTACACACTAGCTGCTCTGGTAGTGGGACTCCACGTGTAGCAAACGTGTCTCCATATCCCTAGTTGTTCAGTTACCTTATTTCCCAACAGTGCCAAACGTCCCGAGATATCCGTCATCGTCTGAATAGATCTCCTCGACATAACTAGAGGTTCCGTAAGCAAACCACCACTTACTACTACCATGCCGTACCTTCTTCACCCATCCA